TGTTGCACTATTAACAGTAGCTTCCCAACTGGTTACAGTAGCTGAAGTTTTAGTCCCTGATATTAATCCTCCACATTGCTACCATAGGTCATCTCTTCTGTCTGCTAACCCAGTCAGATCATTTTCTGCTTCTAAAAGGTCTGTAAAGTACCTATTCATAGGGTTTTTTTTTTTCTAATCACCTTGAAGTTCTTTCATAAATCGAATTCTAAGGATGCTGTAGCCCACCTTTTGGTTATTCCTCATGCTGTCTCATTTGTTTAGAATGATCATCCTCTCATCCCTCTTTTTTTTTTTTTTTTTAAATAGAGGCAAGGGTCTCGCTGCCCAGGCAGTCTGGAGCTCTTGGCTGCAAGTGTTCCTTCCTCATCAATGTTCCTTCCTAAAGTGCTGTGGTTACCAGGGTGAGCCACCTCACCTGACTCCGCCCCACTCTATGATCCTTTCATGGTCTGCTCAGATCTCCAAAAAGCATCTCCACGCTTCAAAAAAAACCCCAAAAAACTAGATATATCTCTGCTCTTAACTATCTTGTTTATATTATATTCTGCAGCACCTTGAGTCTTACCTGATCGCAATAACTTCAAGTTAGGAACTAAATCCCTTTGGTTCTAAGTGTAGATTCTGGCCAAAGTAGGCATTCAATTAAGTGCTTAGTAAATAAATGAGTAAAGTTAAGATTTCAAGCATTTTCCTCTACATAAGATATTTGCCAGTTTCTAGCTATGTCTGAAAATAAATATAAACATCATAAGCTATGAAGATTTTAACTAAGTGGATACTTATCTCTATTCTCTAAATTTTGAAAGACTTGAAACTGAGATCTCATCCACACTAAAGTTATTTTACTTGAGGTCATCTTTACAAATATAAAAACACAAGACTACATATTTCAGTCTGAATGTCCATTTCCTTACAGTCTTCTTGTTCATCCAGTTTAGAGTAACATCTGGGTTAAGTGTATTTTTCTTTTTGGGAAAAGAGACAGGAAAAAATCTCTACCTTTGAAAAGACCAGTTGTGGAAATATTTAAAACCTCCGTACCAATTTTTTTTAACTTAGTAGTAGTATCTAATGTTATCAATATATTAAAACTGGACTTGGGACGTTAAAGGAACCAAAGAAGCAGAAATTCCTAGAGTTACTAGGGATCTACTTTGTGATTTTTATCTCTAGACCTAAAAAATTATTAATTAATTTGGTGCAGCAAGAAATATTGGCAATTTATTTTTTAAAATTTTAGAATTTTTTGAGTCACAATCTCACTCAGCCCGACTGTAATGCAGTGGCACCATCACAGCTCACTGTAGCCTTGACCTCCTAGTCTCAGGCAATGTTCCTGCCTCAGCCTCCTGAGTAACTGGGAATACAGGCATGTACCCCATCACGACTGGCTAGTTTTTAAATTTTTTAAGACACTTTTTTTTTTGACTTGGAGTCTTACTCTGTCACCCAGACTGG